GGGGGGTGGGGGTGGGGTGGGTAGGCAAGGATGGGAGGGTTGAGACATGGGGAAAGCTTACCCTTTGATTTACTTCTCTAAAGTCCTCAAATTGAAATGGTGTTATACTATGACTCCAAAATGATTAGCTTCAAAAGCAAGAGTTCTACTCCCTGTAGAACTTATATCCAAAGGAATGTAAGAAAACTACAAACAAAACTAAAAGCAAGTTCTTTTACAAATCATCAACTGTGTTTTGGGAAACAACTTCAGAACACTCATTTTTAGTTAAATGCTGATCTTACTAGTTCCTTTTCATTGATTTTTTTTATATATAAATACTTACCCCGGAGTATATTACTTATTCACTGATTTAAAATATACTCCCTCCGTCCCTAAATAAAGTTCCTTTTTCGTTTTTTCTTTGTCCCTAAATAAACTTCTCTTTTCCCCTAAAAAACCCCTTTTACCCCTTACTTTTTCATACCCTACCTATCACATCATACCTTTTTACTAATAATCTACCTATCACATCTTACTTTTACACATCACATCAAGGGTATTTTTGGAAAGTCAACACTAAAATATCCTTCCCTTAATTTCTCCAAAAGTCAAAAACGGAACATTATTAAGGGACGGAGGGAGTATTCAATAACTTAAAAATAGAGATAAATAAATTATTAACCAAAAAAATTTGACTTCAAAGTTAACAAAATCTTTGAATGAAATTGAAAGGGTTAGAGGGGTGGGTTCGGGCTGGGGGCTTATATCGAGGGATATGGATAGTAATTACGGAGTATTAATATAATTTTTCGAATACGGTACGTATATGCTTGAGTTGGAGTCGATGTCACACGTTGACACTCAAAATGAGTATGAGCAAAACCTAACCAATAACTTTGAGTTGGAAATTAAATTCGAAATTTGAAAAGAAACCTAAATTGGAAATTTAGAACCTGAATCCAAGTTTGGAAAAAAAACCTAATTTGTAATTTGGAAACAAACCTCGAAATCTTCTCATCGCGGTTCTCTGATGCAGATTATATGGAATCTTTCATTCCTTGAAGAATTTGCTTATATCGATTGGTATAGATGCGTAAAATCAAGCGATTTGGGCATGGCGAAGCGAAGAAGACAGAAGAAGCATAGAAAGGAAGATTTGGGGGTGTTTGTTTTTTCTGCAGGAAAAGGTCTGCAGTCTGCGGACAACTACTGTAGACATCTGCAAGAGAAGTGGTGGACCGAAGGTCTGCGGTCTGCAAGAAGAAGACTGTTTGTTTTTTAATGTCTGGAGACTGCTATATAAATTAATGGTGGTAGTGTACGGGGGTGGTGTATGAACAATTGTGGTGGTGGTGGAGGGTGGTGGTGAAGGGTGGTGGTGGACGT